GCACTAATTTTCAATTATCATTTGGTTTATTTTAAGGTCAGCGAAACAAATAAAACTTATTGAAAGCATTCATCAACAACCTTTGGCTATTTCAAATTGAAAATAACAATGGCAGCATTATTAGTGTTCTTCATTCATCGACACAGAAAGTAACAGCAACACGTATGATTTAAATTTGGATATACGTTTCATATTCTGAGTATACATTTCAGTGCATAAATAATAATTATGCTAAGTGCACCTCGACGGAACTAGCAGTAAAAAAAATTTCAATTTCATCCTCTCTCTCTCTCTCTCTCTCTCTCTCTTTCTCCTTTCATCTTTCATCATTGCTTTTCCCTCTATTTTAATCCTTTTTTGTTTTGTTACTTTCAAATAAACATATCCTTTAATATATCTTTTATTTTATTAATGTTTTACTTATCTAATTAATCGTTCCTTGTGATTTGGTCATTAAATAATTATCATCGACTTAACCTTATTCTCTTCTCTTTCATCCATTAAATAACGAAACAAAGAATGCAATGTAATTAGCAAATTCACATTAATTAACTGAGAGATACTTGTGACACCGTCCATTCTTCCCTTCTAATCGACAATATCTCATTCATTTCAATATGTTTCGGTTGATTACCTGATAAATGCTTACACTGTTAGATTTAATTACTGCTCGCTAACTTTGCTTATCTTCAAAAAGTTCATCCTACATCTTTTGTGATACTTGCTGGTGGTGAATGATGTATATTTGTTGACAACAACTGCTAATTATACTTTATAAGTAAACGTGTTGGAAGTAAGTTCTTCAAAATTATCAAAAGTTCTGAAAGTTTGTTGTAAAGGAACGGACGGTGCCATTTTCATTTCTTATTTTATTGCAAAATCAACTGATAGACAGCAGCGAATGTTGTCTATCAGTGAGTGGTATCAGTGAGCCGTTCTGTCAATCTCTAAAAATGTAGTATTGAACTTAAGAAAAGTAAAGAATATAAATCTGACACACCTACAGTCAGGTACTGTTAGTATTACTTTAACACATTTTGCAGTATTTTTATTGAATTTTACATTTGCGCATGAATTTCACAAAACGCTTCACTACTGACGTGGCTTACATTTATAATTGCTTATGAGTATTTTTAAAGTACTAAGCATTTGCATGGTAATCGGATGTGACAATACTGCAATTTCTAGGAAATTTTGATCCAAATTTCATTACTTTTGGATATTGAAAGCGAATTGAAGGGCAAAGTTTCTTTGAAATTTGAGGATCGAAACTAGCAAAATAAAACTCATAATTCATTGTAAAAGAACTTAAAGTGGGTTAATGTGAAATCTAAAATGGGTTAATGTTCCACAGTGTTTGCACAATACAACTTTAAGTGTTTTATTCATACAAGTTTCCATATTGTAAGCTTATGACATGCATTTATGCATGCGCGTGTATATATTTGTACTTATACGCAGCAGTCACTTTACATTTATTATAAAATTCAGCAAAATAGTTTGGTTTTTATGATAAAATTCATGCAAAGTAGTCTGATTTTAATTTGGGCTGTTGATATTTAAATATTAAGCTGTGAAATTTCTGTTTTGTGTTTAATTTCTTTTCTGAAAAAAATAAAATTTTCAAAAGTAAATCTAAGAAAAAATCAGAAGAAAAAAACTTTAAGAATGGAACAAAGAGAGGAAGAGGAATGGATCGTTAGTGATTATGCGTCCATTCATCGATAATTTACAATAAATTATGGAAAATTGTAGTCCTCTTCCCATAGTCAAGCCATTTATCTATTCATCTATTCATTCATCCAACCATTTGCTTCATGTTTTTTTTACCATCGTTTTCAATAAATCATTTGCATCCTAATCATCACTTTCTGAACTTATCATTTTTTTGTTCAGTAAAATATTCTATAAAAATTACATGTAGGGACGTTTCCTTGATTAGAATTAATTAGTATCAATAATCAAAAGTTATGAGGTGAAAAAACCTAGGCAGAAATAATTTTTAATTAGAGAAAAATAATCTATAATTTTCGATATGATAACAAGAGTGAGATTAAAAAATATAAATTAAACAAATTTATAGATTAATTTATCAAAAAAAGAAAGTTTTCTGGGGCTGAAATATTTTGCAATTCTTTGATGTGCCAAAAAAAGTGCACAATATTTGCTACAGTCATAGTTAAATTTCCAAACTTAGCATTAGCATTCTCATTATCATTCTCGCTGTTATCGTTATCACTGTCATCGTTATCAAATAAGCACTTCCTTTATAATATTTCTTTTTTTTTTTTTTATTTCTACCTGGTTGTTTACTGGTGCAAATATGCTTTATGTTTGTCATTGTAGATCAGTGACACATAATAATCGGCGCCTATGTCTAACGTAGGTAATAATGTAAAAAAAAAAGGAGGGAGAAAGAAAAAACAGTATGATAAGGATAGTTTAGAGAAGAACAGTTATGATAAAATGATCAATGCAGTAAAATGAAAAGTAAATAGAATAAAGAAAAAGATGGAAGATATTAAAACACTTTGATGAGTATGCCATCTTGTTGTCATCGTCAGAATTACAACCAAATTCAATGCCTTGTCGTTAACATCATCATTCCTATCAGCACTTCGCACTTCGTACTTGGTGGAAATATGCGCTCGTAGTATGTAAAATGCAAAATTGCTGCTTACACAAGGAAGGCAGTGGTTGTTGTCACTCTGACGCACAACAAGTCTGAAGTTGATATAATGCCTTCCAATTTATTCATTCCATAAAATTTCTCCGTTTCTGTGTGGATTTTGAATCATAGACAAGAAGAAAAAGAAAATTTTAAAGTATTGGAAAAAAAAAAACTTTCCTGCTATATTTCAATGGATAAATTTGGTTTTAGTTTCTGTTGCTTTTATCCTACGAAAGACTGAGTTATTTATTTTCAACACATGCAGAATTCCAATATTGGGAAGCGGAAAATGACACATTATCGAGATAGCCGGGATAGCAGATTCTCTCTTACAGTGTATAAAAAAACGAAAATGTCTGAATGATATTGATTTATTGAATTTTACCAATATTTTTACCTATATCTCTTTTACACAATAAGCTAGGTTTTCTACTAATGTATTTTTGCAACATTTTCCCTGCGAAGCATCTTAATGAGTATTTATTAAAGATTTGTTTAGGTAACCGAAAAATTGTTGCAGTCGAATAAATGATTCAATAAAGTTATATTTTATATCGCTAAATTCCTTTTAGCTGAATAAATTGTTCGATTTTGTATTCATTAATTGATCACAATTTAGTTTATTAATTCCTTTTTGTAAGAAATTATGAAACAAATAATCATTGAGTACAATATTCGCCTTATTTAGACTTTTTCTAGGATTCATCTCTTTGTGTTAGTTCAATTACATACATTAAAAATAGTCATCGCAGAATTTTTTGAACTATATGAAATTAATTATCAAACTGTTTCTATCAGTAAACTTGGCGATCATTTAAGTGTCAGTGGTTCAGATTCTCTTTTCACTGTTGCATTTTGACATTCCTCGTTCATGCTGAAATTAAAAAAAATATGTACATTGGATTCAAGCGAGGATGCAAAATTTCAAACACTTCGAAAAGTCGATTCATTACGTGAAAATTCCTTTCAACATCAATGTGCTGAGAAGAAGGAAATGAATTCAAAATGGAATGAATTTAAAATCGCTTCTCTTTACATGCACATTGCACACACACACACACACACACACACACACACACACACACACACACACACACACACACACACATATATGTATATAAATGTATGTTCCCCTCCTTTATTTAGAATTATAGTCGTCAAGATGGATAATTGCATCTCGAATACAGAATCGAAATGTCGAGGACAAAAAATCTCTCCTATTCTCGTTTTTTACCTAGAAAATATACTCATTACCTTTCTCTGTAAGTTTCCGTTCCTTTTTTGCATTTCATCATCACACCTATAATCATCACCACAACCATCATTATCACCATCGTTATCACCACATATCACATTATCACCATCATTATCACCATCATTATCACCACATATCACATTATCACCATCATTGTCACCATCATTATCACCACATATCACATTATCACCATCATTGTCACCATCATTATCACCATCATTATCACCACATATCACATTATCACCATCATTGTCACCATCATTATCACCACATATCACATTATCACCATCATTGTCACCATCATTATCACCACATATCACATTATCACCATCATTGTCACCATCATTATCACCACATATCACATTATCACCATCATTATCACCATCATTGTTATCACCGTTATTATCATGTCCTTATCTCCCATATTTCCATTCCTACCATTATAAGAATATTAGTTAGAACGAATAGAAATATCATTTTCAATTTCTATCATTATATTATCATTACTATCTTTTTCTGTTTTACTACATTTTAAAAATGCTTTCTCTTTTATCATTTGTCTTAGAATGACTAATTGAAAAAACTTATCCATGCAAGCATGTTCTTTGTTAGATTCTGTATGATTACACTTCATTTTACAAAACTATTAAATCCATAAAAATACACGAAAACCGCAAGTTTTGAAAAGAAATCGCAAATCATTCTTTTTTTTTCGTAAAAAAGTTGCAAAAAACAAAAGTTTTGTTGACTTTTCAGCACAATGTTATTTTTATCAGAAATTAAATCAGACTGAAAACGACTATCACAGAAAAAGACTTCAGAATTTCAACCGTCCAACTTCTACAACTTTTAGCATTTCTTCTTTATACATAACTGTTAAGAAGGGATCAAAATTTGCAAATAAGCCAATATTTTATGCAAATATCTTCCAATTAAAATTTTGGAGACAAGACATTTCGCCATACATCTTTTTCAGATGGAAGTAACAACGAAGCTGTAACAAACTATTATTATCATCTAAGGGTAACTGTAACCCGGGAACGTTGAGGATGTCAAGGATTACGGAGTAGGTATATGTTACTTCCCGAGCCGATATGCGAAAGCCCATCGATTAATTTGGTAGATGAAAATGCTAGCGGTTCCGTTACCTTGCCAATGCGAAGTGTCGTTTTTGATTTGAATTGCTCGAAGCTTTGCTTCAATCGTACATATATGCATGACAAAGCTCTCTTGACATCGCCGCCTACCCTATTCGATAATAAAAGAAATATTCAGGTAACTTTAAAATATTGTACCTACCACAAGTGATAATTATAGATTATAATCGAAATTCTCATATACTTTCTTTCTTTTCCTATTATAATTTTGCAATAAAATAAGGAAGGCAAAATGAAAAAGAAAAAAAAAAAAAAAAAAAGACAGCGACATTTGTCAGTACAGATTTAGCAGCATTCAGCAGTTGCTGTTGCAGTAATAGCAGTTATTGCCGCATGAATGCGCAAATTGACTGATTGATTGACTGAGTGAGTGAGTGAATGAGTGACTGACTGACTGAACGTTTCGTTTCATGAGATGACACAGGTTGGATTTGATGTACCGAAGGAAAGATATAAGAGGAAAGAGTCGGTTAGGATGGATGAGAAAGGAGAAATGAGAGAGGAGACCGACCGGTGTCGTCTGTGTATATCACAGGTTGAAGCTGGAAAAGTCGCCCATTTTCTACTTGATTTCCTTTTTTGTCAACTTTCTTAGTTAGCAATTTCTCGCACTGACAACTAGCAGCATTCTTTGAGACAGTATGTGTAGCTCTGAGACTTATGGCTAAAATAATTTGACATAAAAAAAATTTAATCATTTGTATGATTGGGAAGTAATCGGAATGGACTAAGTATTTCTCGAAAATATCTAATTCCTATCATTTTATCTATTTTTTGTTGTCTCTAGTGATAAAAGTAACGTTTATCAAGCTTGAATGAATGACATAGGCAGTTTGAAGTGGGAAATATAATACAAATTAAAAAGATAACAGAAATTTATGATCATTTATTTTGAGGAATCATTCGAATTTGATATTTCAAATCCTTTATTTTTACTTGCCTCACCGCAATCTTTCCACCCTATCATTACTTCAGGCCAAGTTAGTTGCCATCTAAATGAATTTAATCACTTTCGTCATTTAGCAAATTCTATCTTTTCTTCCCTATGCTTATGCTTTCTGCAAACGTATTGTTGTCTCGCTGCACGCCGTGAAGGATAGGAAATGCCCTTTCCGCTTAATCCGTGATGAACTTCGTCCGGAATACTTCCCTCCCGACAGTTTCGTGAATCTAACACTACCAGCACATATACACGTACAGTTATTTGGTTGTACATAGAGCAGACAACACTGCAGTTATGAACAGCATACGAAAAGTGTATGGTAATTGAGGAGGGTCCGACAATTCATACAATTAGCAATAGTGGAAAATGTACAGAAAATTGAGATTCTTAAGATTCATGAAGGGAGTAAGGTATTAAAAAGAAATCTACAAGAAATAGAAGAAAAGCAAATATGTGAGACAGTGTTGTGATAGCTCGACTCTAGATGAATCGAGTGGATGAGGGTGGGGCATATTATGTACGCTCCACATGTCACATCGTGTTTCTGTATTTCCCTTCCAGTCTTGCCCATCTGTGTTCTCTTGTTTTTCAGACTCTCTGACGTTTAGCTAAATGCTATTTCGGATTATTGCATTGTCTAGAGTGCTAAAGAGAGGGTAAGAGAGAGAGGGAGAAAAGAGATGCGTGGCTAATCGCGTGCGGCATATTTTGCCCGATTGACATTTCAAATTCTCTATTTCCACGACCCTTACCTTACCTCACCGCAATCTTTCCACTCAGTCTTGATTGCTGGCTCCGTTGCTATCAACTTTACTTTGTCCTTACCTTTTAAGTAAGGCCATTAAAATTTCCTAGCCAAGATTGCCCATAATTCGATCATTTCAATAATCTTTGGATAATTTGGCCCGATGCCATACTCTAAATTTCGGGAATGAAATGAGACCGTTGCATATAATACCGTCAGCATTCTTCCACACCTGAGAATTACAATTGCACTATCTCTCACCTTACTTAAAGCAATCTTATATATTCCTTTCCATCAAACTTATAAAACATATATTCTGCCTTCTACTCATAATTGCTTAGTTATTTATACTGATTTCTGCATTGATTTTACTTTGTTTTACTTACTGTCAGTAATTACTTATCATCCATAATTATAGATAATTGGTAGTGAATATGAGTTAGCAAAAAAGAAGAGTAATTCTCTTTTAATTAATTTATCACTTTTTTGATGTTATGAAAAAAAAATCGTAATTTCATGCTTGTTTGGAATTATTATAGCTTCTTTTCTTATTTCCATACTGTTCACTTGCCTAATTGTTTACTGACTATTCTGATTCGAGTTATAGCTTTTTCCCTTTTTAAATTGCTATGTTTGAAGCATTCATTCACTACCGGTAATATGTCTCATATATGCTTTTCTTATTCACAGTACTTTTAATATTTTTAATTATCAGATTAATCAATATTCCTTATGAAAAGATAGCAATAAATTCTTTGCTATTTCTTTTCTTAGTCCAAAAGATGGCATTCTTTCTTCCTTCAGTATATCTTTCATTTTCATTTTCTTCAAAGAAGCATAAAAAAATGTGCTAAAGTTGCAGAGCAAAATTTTCTAATAAAAAAATTTCCAGTTTAAAGTAAAATGAAATGATACTTTACCCTATTTCAACTTTTTGAACATTGATGAAACCTTCAAAGTGACAAACAGACAGATAGAAGACACATACACACACATACACACACACACACACACACACACACACACACACACACACACATACACATACACATAGATATGCATGTATCTTCGTTGGTGGTCTTATTTGGGCCTTTTTTTTGTATGCTGCACTTAAAAGGCTTTTTCTGTAGTTCTTTCCTTTCAATGGATATATTTTTTTTTCGTCTATGTCGGAACATTTTTCATTAGTTTACCCTAATGACAATGCAGAAGCCATAATTTTAGATAAAAGGTAGTGTGAAACGGACATTTCCGCTTGCAACCAATGACTGTCTTTCTTAGTATGTCCTTTTGTTATAAAAATGATAGGCTTATTAGAGATAGGCTTGAGCATTACTGAAAGTTAGGTTGGATAATAATCTCAAATTTTCTTTTTTTCTAAATCATAAGAGATAGAAGTATGTGATAGATGTCAACTTTCTTTATTTTTGTCGAAGATTATCTCCGCTGTACAGCTTACTTATAATGAAGGACCATGCATGCATGGAATGAGAATGGATGCTAGGGAGAGGTCAAATTGAAATGACATGACATTTCTGCAAGAAGTATTAAAGTCATCATGAAATAATAGTGATGATACTGTTAGATAGTCTTCTACCTAAAATTCATTTAGCTTTCATGAAATTGCGCCATCATTGCAGTTATATTTTTCGAAAAAAATATAATCAGTTAAAATAAAGAAATGTTATTATAGATGAGATGAGGGGTGATACCCATGAGATAACATTCTTTTTACTTATAAGCTTGTTCATCTTATTTCATTCTTCCCATTTGTCTAGATATTATTCTACCTTCAGCGCTCGTTCTGATTCAGTTTTGGACACAAAAAAAAAATGTAAATTGAATAACTATAAACTATCATTATGGAAAAAGGTACCATCTTTTATCCTGTTTCACTTAATAACAGGCAGGTGTTTTCTTTCTTTTTTGAAGTGCTCCATAAATTGATTTGATTTATGAAGCTCGTGAAAGCATAAGGTAATATGTGAATAAGTCTTTTTTTGCATCTATAGCATTCTATTAAAGTTTACGGAAGAGACTGGAAGGGAAATGAAAAGAAAGGGTTTTTCTTCTTTCCAATAATGATTGTTGCTTATATATCAAGATAAGATTCATTCTACTTTCACATCAAATTAGAAAACGAAAGGAAAATAGCTAACTGTGTGAATTTTTTATGAAAAATTTATTTCGACGATATTATGATTCATTTGATTCACTTGAATTTGATTAAATATTGAATGGTATGAACGTACGTGTAGCATTGATAAACTAATGTGTTGAAAAAAATGAAGACAATATCTTTAAGATATCTTGAAATATGAAGCATCAGAAAATAGCTGATTTAATAAAGCAGTGGACTACATTTTCACCATTAATAATGTATTATCCGTATTGGTGGATTTTATGATAAGCTAGAAAGTGTCTTGTTTTTGATCCATGTAATTTGATAAATAAAATCAAGAAATCACTTCATATCCTTCATTTTGTCATCTCGAAAACAGTTTCTTTTTTTTAAAGCTTTTATCAGCAAATACAGAAAAGCAGAAATGTCGTACCTATGTAGAATATGTTTAAGTATAAGTAGACCTATTTTATAAGTGTAAATAATCGTATTTTTTTCCTTAGTAAAGAAGGTCGAGGACGAACGTGGTACACTAACGTTGACATTCTATTGATATCGCATAGGACTTTTTTTTGTAATTTGAAAATAAGCATTTGAAATTTGCAATAAGATATGCATCGACAAAAGCTATTAAATGGAAATTTTTTTGTTTGTTTCTGTTCTCAGATATATAATTCATTTGCCTAGAGACCTCGCCGTTAAATTGCAAGCAAGTTACCATTGGTAGGAGAAAAAAAATTTTTTCTTTTAATTTAGGATTTAAAAGAAATATGTCATTCTTGATGATGAGAACAAAGAGGGAAAGAGGAAGAGGAGTATGAGGAGGACATTATAGGACGGAAGACATTTCTTCCGTCCTATAAAGTTTATTACTGTTAAAGAGATCAGGATAGATATTGTGAGTGATAAAGTAGGTTGATCTATTTAATCTTACGAAGCTAAAATATATGTAATGTTCTGAAGTAAAGAAGGAGTGGATTAGTGTTAAGTTAGGTCTGACTGCAGCTGAACTTTCATAATGAATTTTTTTCTTTTTTTTAATCTTTGGAAGATTGGTATTAGTGTTATGCCATGAAAAACTCGATAAACTTTGGAGGAGTTTGAAAAAATAAATCAAATATATCGAAATTCAAAACTATTCCCATTCCAAATGCTGTTTTTATTGTAATTCTCTCGATTGTATAGAATCAAATGTTTAACTTGCACTGTTTTTATTCAATTTTCTTGGTAATCTATAGTTTTGTAGCTATTGAGGTGTACATACTGCTGAAGTGTTGTCAATGATAATGTTAGTCAGTTTATTACTGATAAGTGCTATTCTATCATTATCAAATGGTTCAGAGAATTTACAGAGTGTTTGTAGCCCTTCGTATCCTGCAATAATTATTTATATTTATATTGAAAAAATGTTCTCAAGCTTATCCAAGAACGTTTCGGATTTTTTTACTCTGCAAGAGTTCTAATAATCGCTATTAGGTAATCTATGGAGATAAGTCATAGAATCTTTTAATGATGCAAATTATAAATGTTGGATTCTACGAATTGACATTTGTAGATATTTGAAAAAACAAAAGTGGCAAGTTTTGCTGCTGAAAACATTGAATGTGTAATTATGTGATCGTTTCTTTTAAGATGACCATAAAGAAATGTTATCAATTAGCGCTTACTCTTAACATCATATCTTCCATTGTGTAAATTTTGCAGATCAAATGAGAAAATTGAGCAGAGAACTATTTTTTGCTGTTTCAAATGGCGCAACCCTAAAGGAGAAATGCATCAAAACCGTCGTAAGTTTTAAATATTGCTGGGAATAAACAAAATGTTGTTCATCACCTTGTCCGATTGATTTTCCGGTTAAACAGCAGTTCACTTTCCGTGTATGACAGTTCTATCGATCCGTATTGATGTGAGAGTAATGTTCGGTGAAAACGTTGTATCTATCAGTCGATCATGAAAGGTTCACAGGCAACAATAGCTCTATATATGTATGTATCTGTATGTGTGTGTATATATATATATGTAAGTGCTTTTTTTGAAGCAATTTTAAAATTGCTGAATATATGTTTACCGTAAACCGCTTGTAAATTTGTACACATATATATATATACACATACACATACACACACACATACACATACACACATACACATACACATACACACATACACATACACATACACACACACATACACATACACACACACATACACATACACACACACATACACATACACACACACATACACATACGCCTGTATTTCGTCCCGTCACTGAATATTGTGAAGAATGAAAAATTGCTGCAACTTTTTCTCTTTTAGAATCTGATCTTTCTGAATCTAATTTGCCATATCTCTTCGAATATTTCAGGTGTTGTTCCTCTAATCCAATCTTTTCCCGTCGATGCAACATTTTTAAGGAGGTTTCATTTACAGTTGAAAATTAAGTATGATTAAGAATAAACAATATTAGGCCTTTATTTAAAAATAAATTAAATATAATGAAAAGTATAGATGTTTTTCATCCGTAATACTTGTGTAAAGCTGTTTGTTAGCAATAAATTTAAAAATTTGATTGAAATGCTATTCATTCCTCTCCTTCTCCCTCTCATTTCGAAACGTAAATGAGGAAACGAAAGGAAAGTTGACCAAATGCGTAGATATGGTCACCCTCTAATTTCCTTTGTCAACTACTATTTAAAATATTCGTGTATTCTTGCTGCAATTGCCTTGAGGACAATACAAGTTACCTTATAAGTAGAGGCATTGACACTGATGCTTAAGATATCCTTTTAATTTTTTATGGTGGTGAAGATATATCCTGATGGTTAGTAAAGCTAAATAGAATAGTAAAAATAGAATAGATACTGTTCTAATATTGCATGTCTTCCTGTCATCTTTGGGAGGAGTGATTTGTATTTCAGTAAGTCGGAGGACATGCTAGGATTCATACTGTCCAGGCCAATATTCCATTCGAATTGTGGTTTAAATGGATAGTTATCAGATCAGACGGAACACTGATGATGGAGAAAGAATGTTTTTTGCTGAAAATGTTATATTTCAATCTATAGCATTTTTCATGTAAAGATAGTTAACAACACTCAGTAATAATGTGGCATGTCGCATTTGATGATGGGTAATTGGTGAAAGGACGAATTGGTCACTTATAAATGGCATTAATTTGGTAAAAAAGGGAATATTTTAATTTTTAGATGGTATAATTTTGTAAAACAGCTATCAAAAAGAGAGTATTTCTTATAAATATGTTTGTAGTATTGGATAGATACTGTGATACCAAGCAAAGGAAAATAAGGATTTTTGGATTTTGAAGATGAAATTCTTATGTGTGATGGTTTCTTGCTTTTGCTATTCTAATCATTATACATACATTATCGCTTGTACAAGTTCGTTACCATCCTTCACTTTTTCAGTTAATGTTTGATGTTCTGTACTTTTTGGATTTCTCTTTTTAATCATCATCACCGCCATAAGGGTCGATAATGATGACTAGTTTTGCTTTCTGTTTTTATAGCTTCTATGATTTACATCTACTGTGATTTTTTCATAAAAGAAGAAATTTTACTATTTCATCAGCAGTGAATGACTAGCTGTTCATGGTCTTTAGGTACTATTTGAGTTTTTTTGTTTTGTTTTTGTTTGCAATTCTGCTGAGTGGTTAAAGTATCTAGCAAGAAGTTTTAACTGATTTATATAATATGATGGAATGAATTCATATAATTCCAATAAGAAAATCTATTTATCCTTTTCAAAAGAATGAACAACAGATTCTTCATTACTTATTAAGTAGTGTAAACTTTACAGACTTTATATTGCTTTTTTCCAAAACATAAAGAGGAAGGAATAGTTGATTGAGATTTATAATAATTGACTGAAGTTCAGAAGAAAACAAATTATTTCTAAAGATTAGCTTTTCCATCTCAGTAGTTTTTATCACATACTGGCAGATGCATTTGTTCGAAGAAGAGATTTCAACCAATGATTGAAAACTAATCAATTATTTTTATTAAAATAAGTGGATTTTTTATCAAAACACTTGAGACACAGATTGCTGACTATAGTTATAATTACAATCTGTAATTACAATTCTCGTAAGTTTTCTCGAATGATTTGATAGTATGGTATCATGATTGCCTTTAAGACGAAGTCAATGTATAGTTTGTACGAAGTACACGCGATCTTATTACTGTCATTGGCTGAAGTGTTAAATAAGGGAACTAGATACTCCTTGATGTATCGGAGACTTAAAAAATCCGAAATTACGATGATCTTGCTGATGTGTTGATGTATTTCTGCATTCGATTCCTTTTTCATTTCAACATGAATATAATTTTTTTCAAGTTCAAAAAATTGCCGAATCCATTTTACAAATCTATAAAATTTGGCCTTCGGGACGAAGTAACGAGATGAAGGAAAAGAGGGCTATTGACCGGGGAGAAGTTACAAAATAATTTTTCAGACTGAACATGGCGAAAACTACTACAGAGATTTATAGAATATATGACTGAATGTCCACATTTCAAATCTTGAAGTTTTTTCATCTTATCGAAAGTTAACCATTTAATTAGTTAAAATACGATTACCACTATTTATATGAGTTTGTCCTTGTACACTGTAAATGTTCAAAAAAAAAATTTTGATCGTCGTTTTTTTATTACAGAAAATTCATATGCGTACTAGGATTGTGATATTAGTGTTGATGCTAAAAGCATTTTCATTAGATAGTAATATGTTTCGATTTAGTTTCTTTTGTCATCTTTTAATTACTGTAGACAAATCCATATATGAATTTATAGATGAGTTTTTTTTTTTTTTTTTTTTTTTTTTTTTTTAGTTAACTAACATTTTGACTGAATTTTCCAGGAAAATTTCCGATGTATGAAGGTAAAACAGTGTTTGAATAACACAAGGCTCATTTATGATTACTCTCCTTATTCTGTATTGTATTTCACGAATATTTCAAAATTATTACGGCTTATCTAACTAGGCTTTTATATTTTCCATTCAAACTTGTAACTGTTAACATAATGTTTGTTGTGAAGAGAAAAGTAAATGAGGAGTTGCTGGATAGAGAAAAGTATTGACGATACTGTAATGACATCTCTTCCCTTTCTTCTTTCGGATTAATGAGTGATTGATGGAATGGAATGTGAAGTGTTTCAAACGTTTTTATTTGATTCAATTACCAAAATTCTCGTTTTTTTTTCAGTTAGTTAGCACATCTTGGTACGACTAGTGCAAGAATACAACTGTTCTTTGATTATAGTGAAAGCATCTTTTTCTTTTTTTTTGAATTTAATCACAGGGTACATGTTGGTTCTGCAAAGAATGTAATGGAATGAGCAAAAAATGATTCTGATATTCTCGGGAATTTTCAGTTCTGCGACGGAAGGTTTACAATTCTAAGAAGCTTTTTCTAATTTTACTGTTTATAATATATAAGGAAATATTTTTCCTTTTCTTAATCAACCTTCTTCAAAAGCTTCTTCAATTTCACTTCTTTTAAATTTCACTTTACAGATTATGTTCAATTTTGTATGGAAATAATTGTGAATCAGTAGAAACAGTCATCGATTTGCAAAATTCTCATTTATGAAGAAACTTATCACATTCACTTTTCCTACTTTTTATCTTATTTTGATAATTATTAAACGAAAATTGCTAATTTTTTTTTTTTTTTTTTAATGATAATCTTTTTAGATCAAACCATCCTACTTTTTGCTTTGTTACCTATAAATATAAACCAAATTATAGCTATAAATGTCTCTTACATTTCTTTTTACCATTTTGCAAAATTCTGACAGTTTTTTTTTGTCATATTATAGCTTCAGTGGGAAGGAGTTGAGAAGTACCTAAGCAATGCTCATATAGTGAGTGAGAGGAATTTTCCCAAAACCATGTTTTAATTTTCATGAATTAGCTGTCTTTTCCTGCAGATTTGAATCACTTTTCGTTTTTATAGATTAAAACTTATCTGGGACATTTAAATGAAAAATAAAGGACTTCTAGTACGAAATGGTACAAAATGGTTGTTGAAATAGAGTGTATTGGACTATAAAAGTGGAGGGTATAAGGATAAGAGAAGGAAAAAAGTTGTGAATATAGTTGCATATCAGCAATAGGCACTGATTTATGAAAAATGGAAAAGCGAATGCTTTACATCGGAATTACATCGGAAAAATCGGAATTCCATTTGAATTTTACGCATTTCGAAGTCAATTTGATTGGGAAATATTTTATTCTGTTGGCCAATGACGGTTGATCTATTAAATTAACTGATCAGACGTTCACTTCTTCATTTATTGAAACCATTTACTTCATTTCTTTAATATTTTCAAGGCAACTTATCAGAGTTTTTGACTAAATAGCACATTAGATTATGTAGGCGAATTGTGGATTGCTTTTGTTATTCAGTTATTGGTGTTATCTGCGAAAGAAAAATTTTCACTGCTTCTGAAGATAGGGATAAAAAGGTGAATGATTCATTAATTACGGAAGAACTTGTTAAACTCATTCTGAAAATGAAAAGCGTTTCTGTGCTTTTTTGCCAGATACAGGAAATGAATATTGAATGGTCGAAGAGAAAAGTTACTTCATAATTACAAAGGCCGTCTTTTCTCTTTCCTGCTCCTCTGCTTTTAAAATATCGGAAGGCATTTCCTTCGCTTTTTGATCGGTCGTTAAACCTATTTTTTACAG